AGATTCATCAACAACCTGTGATATGAGATGACAAGCCTTGCTTGCGGAAAGTGAACACGACTTGAAGCACTTACTGACAAAGATCTAATGCTACAGCCTTCAGTATGGACCACACTTCAACAAAGAGAAAACAAGTCCTCACAACTGGAAAAATAAGCAACATTACAATAAACGGAGAAAAGATTGAAGCTATTAGGGATTTCATTTTTCTTGGATCCACAATCAACACCCATGGAAGCAGGTGTCCAGAAATCAAATGATGTAATGCACTGAGCAAATCTGCTGAAAAAGATCTCTTTAAAGTGTTAAAGGGCAAGGATGTCACCCTGAAGACTAAGGTGCTCCTGACCCATGCTCTGATATTTTCAACTGCCCCATGTGTTTGAAAGCTGGACAATGAATAAGCAACACTAAAGAAGAGCTGATGTCTTTGAATTGTGGTGTTGGTGAAGAATACTGACAATACCGTGGACTGCAGAAGAAGAAACAAGTATGTCTTGGAAAAAAGACAGCTGGAATGCTCCTTCAAGTCTGAAGGCCACACTTCATCTCCCTACTTGCTCATGTTGTCAGAAGGGATCATTTCCTGGAGAAGGAAATGCTTGGTAAAGTAGAGGGGCAGTGAAAAAGGGGAAGGCCCTCAACAAGATGGATTGACACCGTGGCTGCAATGACGGGCTCAGGCCCAGCAAAGATCGTGAGGCTGGCACAGGACTGGGCAGTGTTTTGTTCTTTGTACGCAGGGTCACTATGAATTGGCAGCAACTCAACAGCTCCTAACAACAGCGGGTATCTTATGAGGATTAAATGAGATGATGTATGTAAAGTACTTAGCTCTGTGCCTCAAAAGAAACACACAGCGTGACTGATACTTTCAGGAAACTGCACACTTAGTGTGGGATCAAGGAATGAAACTCAACCAACCAATGATAAGTTTTCTTGCTTCAATGCAAGTAACATTCAAAACTGAAAAGCTACTGGGGAAAAAGACCAAAAAGCCCAAATGACAGCTACCACCAGCCATGGAAGGGGCTCCCCATCACCTGAAGCCCATGTCTGCCTTTTACCAGAACCATGTACACTCTTGCCTCTTGCTCAATAATCTGACGAGAGAGATAACTTACTAAGAAAAGTTCAAACCTGAGCCTCAACTTTGGATGTTATAAAGGCAGAAGGGGAAATACATGCCCAGGATTTAACAAGCTGAGGAGAAAGGATCCAACTCCCCAAAGGTAAATGAAGGAACCTGGGAGGCCCAGTCAATACGAGCCTTTGCTGTCTCAGGGAGCCCACGTGGTCAGGTTAGGTCACATGTCTACGGTGGACCCTGTAATGTGATGCTCAGGTGGCTGGGTGGTCCTGGCTGGCACCACAGAGCATCAGGGCTGCCAGGGGCCTCACACACTAGCTCCACACTTTATACAACACACCTCATTTAATCTTCACAACGACTCTCTGAGGTAGGTTCCCTTATAACCTCCTTGGTAGGCAGATTTCTAAAGCCATCCCCCCAAGATTTCCATCCACTTTATTCAAACACAAATCTAGGTACTGCTGGGAACAGACTTTGCAGATGGAATTAAAGTTGTGGACCTTAAAGTAGGGAGATTATCTTGGATTATTTGGGTGGGCCCTTAACATTAGAGAAATTTCTCAGGATAGTCAGAGAAAAGAAGCAGAGGAGAAAAGCAAGCTAAGGAGAGGTGAAGCAGAAGGGAATGCCAGACAGATTCAAAGCACAAAAAGGACCTGCTGGCTTTCAAGAGGGGTGGCGGGTGGAGGGTGGGCATGCAGAAGCCAAGGAATGCAGGTGGCCGCTAGTGGTAAGTACAACCCCAGACTGACAACCAACAAGGAATGGGGACCTCAGTCCTATAACCACAAAGACCCGAACTCTGCCAATACCCTACACGAGTGTGGAAGCAGATTCTTCCCTGAACATAGCCCAGCAGCCAATACCTTGCATTGGGCCTTGTGAACCCGGAGCAGAGGAATCAGCCCAGCTAGCCTTGACTTGAGATCTACAGAATCAGGGGATGGTAAATGTGTGTTTGAAACCACGACGTCATTTTTTATGGCAGCAATAGGAAGCTAACATGACCCCACTTTGCAGATGAGGCACCTGAAGGTCTCAAGGTTAGCTTGCCCACAGCTAGTTAGTGGCACAGCGAGGGTCTGAACTCCAGCTGTCCAACTCCAGGGCCCTTGCGCATACCCACACCACCTCCCCATATCCCCTCCTCCAGGTGGTAAGATGTTCCCATAGGTGTCCAGCTAGCTCCATATTAAAAAAAAAAAAAAAAAAAAACACCACCACACTCATTGCTCTAGAGTCTATTACAACTCATAGTGAGTGACCCTATAGGACAGAGTAGAATGCCTCACAGAATATTTAAGGTTGTATATCTTTGCAAAAGAAGACTGCCACATCTTCCTTCCTCAGATCAGCTGGTGGGTTCAAACTGTCAACCTTTTGGTTGGCAGCTGAGCACTTAACCACTGTGCCACCAGGGCTCCTTAGCCCTATATTGGGAATGCAAATTCTGAAGAGGCTCAGAGACCTGCCCAATGCAGCTGCCAACTGCAGCTGTGCAGTTTTATCCAGGGAATCAGCAACGGCTGGAACAACTCCAGGTGGATAAAACCAACTTATCATCATTCCATCCAGCCATTATTCCACAAATAGGCACGTGAAACCTGCTGAGAGCCAGACGCTGTGCTAACTGCTGGGCCAATTTGCCCACCCCCTCCTGAGGCCTCCCTAAGTCAGAATTTCAAGTCTTTTAGTAAAGAGGAAGAAGAAGAGGAAGAAAGGAGGGAGGGAGGGAGGGAGGAAGGAGGAGGGAGGGAGGCAGAGGAAGGAAAGATGAAGGAATGAGAAAGGAGGAGGAGGGAGGGAGGAAGAAGGAGGAGGGAGGGAGGAAGGAGGAGAGAGGAAGGAGGGGGGAAGGGGAGGAGGGGGAGAAGTCAAGGAGCAGCTTCAGATGCAGCTGGGTGAGGGAGGCTGAGGAGCAATTAAGATACTCAGGCTCCCAAACTAAGCCCGCCTTAGCAATGTCCCAGATCGGGCGGCAGTCCCAGGGGCAGCTAAGCTGACAGTGAAGTGCCTCACCTCGGAGGCCAGCATGGGGCCCAAGCTGCAAGCCTGCGGAAAAGGTGGCATCCCGGCAGGGGCGAGAGGGCCCACACCCAGGAATCGCCTGTTAACTGTCAGCGGCCTGCTTGTTCCGGATTCATTTACTGTATCCAACAGTGCAGTTCGGCACTGACCAGGAATCTGGGCGGAGAATGCCACCGAGCGGGTTCCAGCACCTTCTGCCCACCTTTTCAGCCGACCCTCGTTTGACTCTTGGGAGAACAAGGAGGACCCCATTTTCTGCTTAGATCTAGAGGACCAAGTGAAAAGGAAATTTTATTTCAAATCCAACTCAAAGTAGGAAAGATAGTCAAACAAGGAACACAATCTCTGAGCAGCTATTTCCCCACTCGGTGTCTTCTGAATAAGCATTTTACTCTTAAAAAGAAGGGGGGAGGGGAGGCTCAATTCACATGTGTTTTAAATGCCACAGCCCATTAAAAACAAGATTGTTAGAGCTGGGTATGAGGGGTGAGAAAGCACGCCGGCTGACATGCAGACTCAGAAAAACACCAACGCTGAGAGAATCAAATCAAGGCCTCGAGCCACCTCCTCTCCACGGAGGGTTCAAACAGGAGAATTTATTTTGAATCTTTCCCCTATGAGAATTTGTCATTTCCAGGAAGCTGGAAGGGCTGGGCATGGTGCCCAGTTTCACCACAGCCAAACAAGCAACTTCATTAAGCTTCGTTAAAATGGGCCTGACTCCTTCATGTGGATGCAAAGCGTGGTTTTGGTAGCAGGGCCTCCACAAGTACCGAGAAGAGACAGGCACTCGGCGCAGCAGCTGGAAGCTGCCCTCCAGACGCTGGCCCCCTCCTCCTGAGCTGGGAAGAGCCTGGGCAGCAAGTCTCCTGTTCGGGGCTCACCAGCCTCCTGAGTGCTTCACCGCCAGGGGCTCTGCCATCAAGTGGCCGCCTGTGCGGAATTCCACATGGCACTGTTCAAACGAGGGACGGCAGATTCCATTTCAGCTCAGTCCGCCCGTGTTTTTCTAATAAATGTGCATGTGGACAGGCATTTTCAGTGAAAGTCTCTGGTATTTATGAGACTTGAAATGTTCTTTGGAAATATCCCAGTTCAACTCTTTCAGAATTCTGTTTCAGAGTTATCACCATCACCACCCAGAGAAACCCAAACCAAACCAAATCCACTGCCACTATGAGTCCAGCTCATGGTGACCCTACAGGACAGAGTAAATCTGCCCCATAGGGCTTCCAAGACTGTAATCTTTATGGAAGCAGACTGCCTCATCTTCCTACCATGGAGTGGCTCAAAAAAACAGATAAATCAAACTCACTCCCATCAAATCTATTCAGACCCACAGCAACCACCTTTGGGTTTCTGAGGTGGTAAACCTTTACAGAAGTAGAGTGCGCCATCTTCCTCCTGCAGAGCAGCTGGTGCATTTGAACCATCAACCTTCTGGTTCGCAGTCAAATGCCTTCCTTAGGTACTACATCATTAGAGCTCCTCATGGAGTGGCTAGTGAGTTCAAACCACTGACCTTTTGGTTAGCAGCCAAGTGTTTTTTAACCACTGTGCCACCAAAGCTCTTTACCCACAGAAAAGACATTTAAAATAGCTCCAAATTCTATGGTTCTGGGCTTTTTATTGTGAGGTTGGGGAAGGTGGGGGGCTACAGTCATGTTGCCACGGCCTCCTCTGATTAAACCCAGCCTGCCGCTTTAGAGTGAAGAATTGGATTTTCAAACCGTGTTGCAAAGTTTTCCTGGGTGTAACTTGCCAAACACACATCACTTCTTTAAGAGGTCCCTGGGCTAAAAGAAGCCAGAGCTGACAGTTTTAATAAGTCAGGAAAGGAAATTGGGAGTCATTTTGCACTGAGTCGGCGGTGGGGGCTCTAAATCAGTGTAACAAGTCCAACCTGAAGCTACCAAGGGCCTGCTCCTGAACCCCCTAAACAGGCATGGACAAAAGCGTTGTCCTTAACCCTCGCTCAGTCCCCTGACCACCGCTGCTGCTTAGTGCTACAAGTCAATTCCAGGAACAGGGCAGAACTGCCCCATAGTTTCCTTGGCTGTAATCTTTGCACCAGGTCTTTCTCCTGTGGCTCCGAACTGCCAACCTTTTGGTTAGCAGCTAAGTGCTAATGGTTGTGCTAATAGGGCTCCGAGACTACACATCTTCAATGGCCTTTCATTTGCAAGGTTGGGGAGGGGAAGGCTGTCCTGTCCTGCTGACTCCCATTGCCCCTGTGGGTCCAGTAATTCCTTGGAACGCATCATAAAACTCAGAGAGAGTATAAACGACTTACCACTACAGGTTTACTAGAGTCAACAGGATACAAGCAAAGAGATACACAGGGCAAGGTCTGCAAAAGCTCCCAGCATGGAGCTTCCAGATCCCAAGGGATTCGCTACTCTCCCAAGAGCACGGGTTTTAGCCAGAAGCTCTCTCACTCAGTGTTCAGGCCTTTTAGGGTCAGTGGGACACATGCAACATCCTCCCTTCCTAGAGAGGGCGTTAGGAGGTGATCAGGGCCCCAAGGCAGCATCATGTCTGTGCTTTTTGTGGAGCATGTAGCCATTTAGCCTGCTGACCCTAATAGGACCTGGATTTGGCAGAGGGCGCTAGAAATACAGCTTTTGCCTCCCACTTCCCCACCCCCAATATCCTTTCTCTCCAGTACTTGTTTGAATACCCTGGCAAGAATGGGATCCCAGGACATATAGGTTTGTACTGTATGGGATGTTGTTATGTGCCGTCGAGTTGGACCTGACTCATAGTGACGCCTCCTTGGGTTTCCAAGGCAGTATCACTACGGAAGTAGATTGCCCCATCTTCCTTCCGAGGAGTGGCTGGTGGGTTTGAACTGCCAGCCTTCTGGTTAGCAGTCAAGTGCCTCAGGTACAGCTATATATTTTTATGGCTTTCTTAGTGGAGTGGGAAAGGAGGTAGGGCAGGGATGGCATTTTATAGAATCTGGATATGTGCAAGAAATAAAATCAAGTTTGATCTTTTATCTTCAAAGGGTATGGAGTAAGAAGTAGTGGAGCAAAGTCTAGGAACAAGAAGGAATACAGGAAAGGCCAGAGGTTTGGGCAAGAGGAAGATGGGGAGGCAACTGGTTGAATGCTTTGAAAGAAGGGGCAGGGTTGGAAAGCCACTGGGAACAGAGGAAACAACAACAAAAAAAATCTGTCTTAGTTTTGGGAAAAGGAATTGAGGAAGAGGACAGTGAGGGAAAATAGCCCTTTCCTGCTGAGATGAGACCAAGTTGTCCCTTGATAGGTGGGAATCAAAATTTTGAAATGCTAAGGGCTTGGAGCAGGCAGCTGGGAACAGGTGAAGAGCAATACTCAGGAAGGTGTGTGGAGGTGGCAAGTCAGGGACCAGCTAACATTAACCTAGCCAGCCAACTGTCTCCTCCGTGATGTCAGGCACCAGCTGGCCCAAGGACAGGATATAGCGGTAGAACGTCAGGTTCTAGCTTTGACTCCTAAGGCACTGCCAACCTTCTCTCCTGTCCCTCCACCTTGACTGTACAGCAGGAATTAGCCTTAAATGCAATAATGGAGACCTGCCTGTCCAGCAAAACCAACCAATCCTACCAACCAACCCGGCCTGGCCTGATTTACGGTTAGTGGGAGCCATCTGTTACTCACACGTTTGGGCCAAAGCTGCAAAAATGGGAGCTGTGATCAGCATTAGTTGGGAAGGGAACCAGGTAGTTACTTATATGGAAATTATATTGAAATCAATCATCAATGTATCTATACAGAAAAGATTAAAAAACTGCAGTGAAAATACAAAAGATGTAACATTTAATAAAAGAAAATAATCTGTGAACTGTTATAATGTGGGGATTCCAATCAATGTCATGAAACAAAATGTGTATGGACTGTTGAATGGAAAATGAATTTGGTTTGTAAACTTTCACCCAAAATACAATTAAAAAAAAAGAATAGAATCTGTAGGTAAGAGCATGGGTTCTAGAAGACTGCATCAACCGTATCACCTAGTTACCGCTCTAGGATTCCGTTTCTTCCTAAGTGAGGGTAACACTTGTTCCCAGCTCACTGGCTTGTGTGTACTTCTATATATGAACTGTACTTCATCTATACAAAGAGTGAAAAACATAACATACTGCTGTGTTAGATAATGACCACATGCCACTTAACAGGTAAATGTAATGCCTTGGTGAGGAGGACAGTGTGGTGGTTAGGAGTCCTGGCTTGGGAATCGGGCTTACAATCCCTGCTGTTCTCCTGCAACCACAGGAGCTCTGGATGCACTTCTCTGAGCCTAGGTTTCCTTTTCTGTCCAATAGGAATAAACATAACAGAGACACTTCTCAGGGTTGTTGTGAGCATTGGAAGAGCTGAGGTGTGGAAAACACATGACACTATTTATTCAACATGTATTGACTGCTGTATGCCTGCCTCTGTTCCAGGTGTCGGGGGCACTGTGGTGGCAGATGGATCCCGGGGATCCAGCTTGGCTGGGTCAGGGTCGTCGGGCACAGGCAGGTCTCCAAGATAGTAAGTTCTCTGCTTTCACAGAGCTTCCATTCTAGTAGGGGAGGCTGGTGGCTGACATGTAAATATACACACAGGGCATTTCAGACAGCGCGAAAAGCACTTCAGAGGCAATACAGCAGAGGCAAGATGGAGAGTGGGGGCTGTGTGAGAACAGGGGCAGGGAGGGGCTCTCTGAAGAGCTGACTTTTTGCTGAGGCATGACTGATGAGAAGACCTGGGGGAGGAGCATTCCAAACGGAGAAAATAGCAGGAGCCAAGGTCCTGAGCATCTGGTGAATGGTTTGCACATCAACACGTAACTCCTGTTTTAGAACAAACACCAAAGCACCCCGGAAACATCTGCTTTCTCAGGCAGAGGTGGGCGGGGGCGGCAGGGGACCCACCTCCTCCTTGGCCAGGGCTTTCAGGTGCTCCAGGATCTGTGCCATCACTGTCTCGCACAGCTTGTTGTTTTCAGCCAGGAACTTGGAGTCTCCCCCGTAGAGGCTGTCGTTGGAGTCCACTGAGGGAACAAACGAGCCATGAGACACACCCAAGCCCACAGCCATCCTGGCCATGGAATCAGTGTCAATCGTTGCCAATCGGTGGCAGCAGATGGCAGGAAATCATGGCAGGCCAAACGGAAATGGCTGAAGCTACCTGCTGAGCTAGGGTGCTGGGAATCACAAAGAAGACACCTGGCCTGTTGGGTGGTCTGAGCCAGAGGCCCAGTTGTGTGGGCCTCTTCCTCCCCATGCCTGGAGGGGACAACAGTCATCACTATCACCATGGCCATCAGAGCAGCTGCTACTGCCAGAGTGTCTCCTGTGTGCCCGGCACTGGGCCAAGTGCTTTTACATGCATAATTTCAGAGTCCTCCTAATCAGTATGGATGGGCAAACAGGCTCTGAGGCACTGCCAGCTGGGATCCAAAACTCAGAGGTCTGATTCTAAGACCTGAGCTCCTAATTACACCCCTTGCTGCCTGCCCTTTAACCCCTTCCTCAAAATAGCCTTGAATGGACCATAAAACTTTTCTAATCAATTACTTTCAAAGCTTAAACCTCTTTGAAAATGTCACAGACTGGAGGTCTTTGACTGATCATTTCCGGTAAAAATCACTGCCCAGAGAAAGCCCAGCCCCACTAAAGACAGCCTCAGATTTGATTTCCCTCCCTTCCTTCCACCCTCTCTTTTTACTAACTGACTTTTCATACCAAGTGTGATATACTATGGATGTCTTAGATCTCTAGTGCTGCCATAGCAGAAACAGCACAAGCAGATGGATGGTTTAACAGTTTCTCTTTCGGTTCAGGAGGCTGCAAGCCCGAGCTCAGATTGCTGCCTCGAGGGGAAGACTTTCTCTCTCCGTGTCTCTTGTTCCTAGGAGGATCCCATCACAGGGACCCTGGGTCCAAAACTCGCGCTCCACTCCTGGTCTTCTTTCTTGGTGACAGGAGGTCCCTCTGCGCTCCCTTCTCTCTCCTTTTATCTCTTGTAAGATAAAGGCATTGCAGGCCACATCCCAGGGAAGCTCTCCTTACACTGGATCAGGGCTGTGATAGGATTAAGGATACCGCAACCCATCCTTAATCTTAATCCTTTTACACCTGATTGGTTTATCACATCCCATCCCATCATGGGCTATCTTACATATCTGCCACATTACATCATTACATAACTTCTAAACTGGTAGCATAGTGCCTAAGGCACTTGCCTGCTAACCAGAAGGCTGGAGGTTCAAACCCACCAGCCACTCCTTGGAAGGAAGGTTGGGCAATCTAGTTCTGTAGTGATATCACCTCAGAAAACCAAGGAAGGGTCGCTATGAGTCAGGTCCGACTTGACCGCACACAACAACAACAACAAACCACCGAGAGTCATGACCCAGCCAAGCTGGCATACATTTTGGGGGACACAATTCAATCTATGACAATGGGCAATCATACTGTATGATATGCTGCTTTGCACTTTGCGTTTTTTACATCGTAAGAGATCTTGGAGCTATGTCCATATCAGCATATACTGATCCCTGTGTTTTTAGTGACTGAAGAGTATTCCGTTGTATAGAAGGACCATAATGCATAGAGTTGGTCCCTACTAATAGACACTTCAGTTGTTTTTCTTTTTCTTTTTTTTTTTCGGCACAGGCCAGCCTGCTGCAAAAGCCTTAGAGACCATAATGAAATCATGACTTTTGCCTTAAGTCCATCTTTCCTCCACGTCTACATGAGTGTAGACACCTTTTCTTCCCCAACCATGTTTTGCTTTCACCTCAGCTTCCAAACACTGACTTGCATGTCATTTCAACTTGATGTGCACAAACAGCACTTTCTCTGAGGAGCCCAACTCAACATCACAACCCACAGGCTTCTTAGGTGCACACACAACACGGAGTGCTCACTAACAGAGGAAGTTGCAGGGGCAGCGATTCGTGCTGCTGGTCTGGTGCAGGCCTAAAATTGGGCTAAACCACTGGCACACTTACTGCCTAAGAACAAGAACTAGGTTCCTTGCTCCCCAGCTTCTGTCACTCGGTAATCACTAACTCGATGTTTTACTATCCATCTGAGGACTCTTCCAGGGAATACTCTCCCAGCCGACTGTTTCCTTGGCGATTGCTCCTTTGGCTGGGCAGCAGCCGGTCCTGAGGTTGGATTTTTTTTTTTTTTTTTA